TTCATATGTCATTGCTTATTTAAATTACACGAACACGTGGCAGCTATCCGTTCAGATCTGAGTGTTGCCAGTGAAAAGATTAAAAAATAAACGTCTTAAAAAATCATCTGTCAATTTTATTGTTATTCAAATTTTTTGCTCCTCGAGTATAGATTTTTGTGTTGACTTTTGACTTTAGTATTCTTTGTGTTGTGTTTTGAATTCTTTTGTATTGATATCTCAAGGTTTAAGAACTATTATAGTTGTTATATTGTAGAAATATAAAGGCTAGAGGATATTATGTATATTAATTTTTCATTTGCAATTTTAAGAACCATGTCGATTTATTACAAAAAAAAAGCTACCTGTAGCCCGCGATTTAAGCCGCGCGGAATTAAAAATAAAACTTTATTAGTAGCATATTAATTTTTCCAGACTATGTTTTGTATATGTATATCTATGCCAAATTTTAGTTAGATGCGTTTAGCCGTTGTGGATATATCTTCTAACAAACATTGATCCATCAAAACTTTCGCATTTATAACATTTGTAACATATGTTGTCATCGTTGAAATCTTAAGCAAATTCATTTCACATATCATATCTCGATTGTTTGAAATCAACACCTTTTACTTTAAAATTCCAAAACACTTATTTACCAGAGTTGAATCTACGTATGTTTATACATAATCTTTAGCATTATAATAGTAGTAATGGTACACTAAGACGTGATAACGAGATAGTGTGCTCATTCAAGTACGCAACAGTGTAAACACGTCTAGCAATGTAAGCCGGTAATGAACGAATTAAATCAACATACAACTATTCATTAAATGACGGATGATTCGACTCACAACGTTTTAGGAATCCGCGCCATTTCTTGCGCGCTGTCAAAACACGCGCGCCTACATTGACAGCTGACGTAGGGTTGCCAGTTGATAATAATTAATTAGTATTTTATAATGCGTGCTTTGAATACGTTATATGTATAAAACCTTTGTTGTAGTAATAAAATAAATAATTTTAAATGTGTCATAATATTAACATATTTTATTAATGTGTATATGATTCATACATATCATTGCTTTTCTAATTATTGTGGATGTTTTTATTTAAATGTTTACAGTTAGAAGGTAGGTTGGAAGAATAAAATATATCTTTAACTTTATTCTTCATATAAATTGTCCATAAAATTCTGGGAAAGAACAAAGGAAGATCTGTCGAAAACTGTGCCAAAATTATTATCATTTGAGACCAACGTGTTATTTACATGTTAATGAGAGCTAATAAGTTAGTTTATTTTCTATATTTAATGTTTTCAAATATTTTAAATGAACAATAGAAGCCATAGCCTCACTGTTTTAAGAAATTAGATTCTTCTAAGCATCAGATTGAAATTGAAAGGTCTTTCATAAATGTTAGCCGAATCATTTCGGATAAAATATGTATCTCTATATCTTGAAATTCGCCGTACATGTACGCCGCCTAGCAGTGATTCACAGGGTGTTCCAGCTGACCACAGAATTTCACGATAGAACTGGTGACGAAGTAAAATGACAATAATTTCCCTCCACTCAAATTTGAAGAAGGTATTAATAGGAGGTTCACCAAAAACAAAAGTGTCTCTGGCATATAGCTGTTAGTGTGTTTCGATTTTAACGTTATATATATAGATATATCAATGGAAATCAAAATAATTTTGCGCGAACCCTAAATGAATGTTTACATTAGCGTCGGTGCAGTAATGGATGCTCGAGATGTTTCGTCTATTCGGTGTTGTGCTTTGCCGGCCTAATTTAATCTCTCGTCTTCTATACTTTTCTATAAACCATTTAGAGAATGAACTGAATAGTTTATAGAAATTTGAAAATCACTGACTATGAGGATAAAGGTAGACAACGCATCTACGGATGTCTATGGGTAGCGGTCGCTTCGTTATTTCGACGAATTCAGGTGGTCAAAAAGTTCCTCATGATTTGACCCTCAACGGCGAACTGTGCTATTTTAGATAATGCCATCGGAGGTAACTAAACTAAATTTAGTTCTGTAAGACCAAAAAGCCTAAGGAATCTTAAGTGTCGTTATAGGAAGGCTTAGACTGTAGTATTCTTGTTTGGTGATTTGTGTCCATGTCTTATATCCGTCCGATATCAAAATTCGTCTGTAGGATTTATGTAGATGTTATGAAAACCGTATGAGACATAGCTAGCACCCGCGGTATTAAAATAAATAGTTGTCTATGTGTTCTTCCAGACTATGTTCTACATCTATGGCAAATATCAGCGATATCCGTTGAACCGTTATGCAATACCTTCAAACAAACATCCATCCATTCATCTAAACATTCACATTTATAAGTAGTTTATGTATGTATGGCCACTGTTGTCTTTTTACACGTGTTATGTAAAGTCAGAAAAGTCTTAAATGTAAATAAACCTGACATTAATATCCCAGGTTCATTATGTGGTATGAAAACGCGAGGGCGCCTTGTATACAGAAAAGCCTCTGAATTAGTCGCAAGTAGGTTGCAATGTCGGCAACACCCTGCAACCTCCCGCCCGCCATTGACGTGCAACCCCGCCCGCCGCGACGTCGCTCGATAGCCCGGCCACAACACACACACACTAGAAAAAGATAATATTTTAAATATTCTATTTCCTCATTGTATTGTATGAAGAAAAAATATTATTAGCTTATGATATAAGGCTGCAATGGATTCCATTACTTTTGGAACGATCAACTCTTCGAACAAATGTTGCACTTAAAATTACGTGATTATGTGAATAAGTACTATATTAAAATACATATCAAAATATGTATGATAAAGTAAATGAAGCTTCTACCACAAATTCGGTACGAATTTAATAATTAGGTCAGAATACAAAGGTCGTTCTGGCAACCCTGTGCCCCCCAAACAAGCCGGGCGTCCGGCGCCGGCGCGCGGTGTGTGGGGGCGCCACCCCTCACCCCCTCGCCCTCCGCACCCCCGCACGCATTCAGAAGATTTACCTCAACGAAACGCTCGTACAGATTTTCTTCTTTAACACTTCCTCGGGGACATTTTATCTTTAATATACCGACGCTTATGAAAGTATCTGTTGTGATACTTTTTGGCATTTTACAAAATAATGATAAAAGTTATGAAAAGATAGAAATAATTTATAAAGCAAATTTAATTTTGTATTTTGGTATAATTTTTTCTTATTTATCTAGTAAATTATAATTAACGTTCCTGGACTAAAATTGCTCAATGAAGCGTAGATTGTAAAAGTAGTAGCATAACATCCTAACTAGGTAAATGTAATCAACATATGAAAAAAACATGAAATCGTATTATTTTGCGTATTGATTGGTATTTGTACCAATTCATCATATCTTGATATTAGTGAAGAGGTATCGGGCACCGTGTCGTGCTTAAGTCGCGTCGGCGCGGAGTGGCGACGTCTGGGGGTCGTCTGCGGCCCGGCCGCGACCTACATCCAGCTCGTGGCCTGTGACGCGCGCCGTCTGACACCCCGGCACCCCACACTACGATCCCCCACTAACCCAACCCTACACAC